GAATTTGAATCTCAACTTTGCTGTTCCACACCCCACTTGTCGGATCAGCACAGTTTTTCCTGAACTGCTGGTGGAAGGTGGGAGTGGACACAGCTGCTGCTGAGTGTAAATTGCTAGAACTTTCCAGGAAAGTATTTGGCAGTGCTTCATGCTCTACTTGAAAGCCGTCCTGAGAAAATAATCCGAAATGTGAGGAAGGCCGGGACCCAGGTGGCCCCTTGGGGAGCTGCTGGGGAATCAGGGCTGCTGTCCTCTCTGCGGCACTGCAGCCCAGGCCCCCCGGCCCGTGGCAACAGGCTCGGTGCTGAACCGTCACGGTTGACCCTGTCTCCACCGGTCCCAGCTTCCTCCCCCTTCAGTCTGTGGGGTTTACCCGCGGCGCCCGTTCCAAGCTGCAGCCGACGTCCCCACACTGCACCTCAGTTCTGACGCCGTCTCCCTGGGAGTGTCTCCAGTCTGGACTGATCACAAGCTCATCCCTCACAGGATGCCCGCTGCAGCCGTGTCACGTGGTGAGCTGGCCTCCGGGTGACTCAGGACCACAAACCGCCACCCCCAGGCCCATGAGCACCCGATTTGCTGGCACCCTCGACTTTGAATTTGTCCTTTCAGCGGCGGGGAGGTGGGACCAGGGAGCTCGGATGCTTGCCCAGAAGCCCTATTGGGAACCCTGCTACGGCCAGGCTCACGGGTGTCCTTCGGGCCCAGCCCGGCCCTCGCTCCCGGTGGGCCCCAGCACACTGAAGTATGGTTTGAACGAAGCGCCTGTCCATGCAGTGGGTGGCAGCAGCCACCAGCCGGCCAGGCGCTGTGTCTGGGGATTTTAAAGATAGAGAAGCAAGATTCCGAGGAAACCAGTGTCACCAGGGGCTAAACAAACCCTGCAGGATGAGGCTGCGATGCTCAGGATGGAGGTGTCTCAGCAGAGCTCGGGGGGTGGGGGGCCCCTCTGCGAGACCCCAGATATGAGACTCCATGGCGGAGAGAGTCACCGCAGGCAGGTGGGAGCAGAATTCTGTCTCCTGGGGAACTGAGAGCAGCGTTTCTGCCCCGTGCCTCCTGCAGGCCCGCTCAGGGGCCATCACAGCACACCCACAATGTCATGGGTCACCCCGCAAGGTCACCCTGCACCACCACAGGCCACCCTCCGTGTGACAGGTGCCCCCACACTGTCACAGGTCAGGACCTAGGGGCCTCACGTGCTCACCTGGGGTCCCGCATCTCGGTCCCAGGCTTGCTGGTATTTATTGTTTTTCTGGTTGGTCAGATGCGCCTTGTCCCTCAGGTGGGGTGGCCGGTGGGGGCTCGCTGTGGTCCTGACCTCGTATGGCGGCGGGTCCTGCAGGTGTAGGGGACGAGGGGGCCGCGGTTGCCCACCATCAGTAATAACATGTGAACAATGCCACCCTCACCGCCGACACCTGCCTGTTGGGTCCCGGGGACGAACGAGAAGCAGGCGCTTTCCCCCGCTGACCCAGCCTTGATGCAAGAAGAGAGACTCTCCTGACCGAGTCGGGAGCGTCCATGCTCCTTCCTGTCTCTCCAGAGCCGCCTTTCCCGGGAGCGAGGGTCTCCCCTGAGTCAGGCATGCGTGGGGACTGGGCCCCTCGCCCAGAGGTCCTGAGCCCCGGTGCTGGCCGCCTGACCAGGGTGCAGGCCGTGCAGGCAGTCCCTGAGGGATGACCGGCCTCTGGGGCTTGCGGGTGAAGTCCAGTCCCCAGTGGGGGACGCCGGGGACCCCAGGATATGGAAGCCTGGGACCTGGGATCTGGCGTCCGTGTTGTTTGAGGTGCCCACCCAGGTAACGCCTGGCGCTTTAGGTAACAGCTTTCGGGAACAGATGCAATTCCTGAACTCAGCCTGTTCAGGTCCTGTCGGCCAGCTGAGGGGACACTTGACCTTGGTGGAGGATTTGGTTTGAGAATTTGTTTGAGGAGTCCCCAGGAAAACCTGCCGAAACAGCCCCGGAGCCTTGTCTCCATGGACTAGATAGAACTCATCCATCCGTTCGCTCGTTCGCTCCTGTTTGCGGGTCTGCTCGGCGTGGGCCCCGTCACCACACGGGACAGAACAGGCTGCGCTGGTGGCCTCGAGGCTGGGGCTGGGGCGGGGGAGGGGCGCCTCTGCGGGCCCAGCCCCCTGACCTGGTGACACACACACGCACACACACACATGCACACACATGCACCCGCTGACCGGGTCTGGGAGGGCAGTTACGGCATCGCTTAGGCTGTTCCAGCGTCTACGGCAGACGTTTCAAAATGCGCGCAAATAGGGAGGAGGCGGGAATAAAACAGTGAATATAGTATCAGCGAAAACTAAGGACTTGGCAGGGGCTGGGGTGGAGCGTCAAGGGCACAGGGTGTGGAGCACCCGCCCGCCCGTCCGCCCGCCCTCACCCCTGTGCGATTTTCCCAGCCAAGCGCGGGCTCTTTCTGGGGGGTGGTGCTTGAGCGTGGCCGCTTGAATCTGAGGCTCGGGGACATTGTCTGCAGACCTGAGGCCAAGGCATGAGTCACCCCTGGAGCTTGCAGGGCTGGGAGGAGGAGGGTGGGGCGGAAGCAGGTGGAGAGAAGACAGTTTACCTGGAGGCGCAGGTGAGGGAGCGCGTGTTCACGGCAGTTGCGGGGGTGGGGGCTGGGGGAGTGCTGGGCTGGCCGGGGAAGCTGCAGACGAAGCACTGGGGGTGCAGGTAGGTGACACCGGGAGGACCAGGAGCGAGAAGCCGAGGCTCGGGAGGCCCGGGGGAAGCAGCACTCTGCGGGTTCAGCAGCTGCAGGCAGCCCCGGAGGGCTGTGAGCTGGGGGAGGCAGCGGGCCCTCAGAATGGCTTTGAGGAAGGGTCCATGTGCACTGGACAGTGAGGGGCGCAGGGGCCCAGCAGTCGCTGGCAGGGACAGCCTGTTGGGCTCGGTCTGGGAGGAATCGGCCGGCAGTGCGGTGTGGGCAGCGCCTCCAGGAGCCTCTCCCTGGGCCGGGAGTGTCAGTCAGCCCCTGCCTGCCTCTGAGCATTCCCTGACCCCAAGACCTGACGGCATCTGGTCCTGGTCCGGGGAGGCTCCAGGACGAGGGAAACCCCCAGGCCTGGTCCAGCAGCCCCGACTGCCCTCGTCCTTTGATGCAAAGTGACGTCCCGGAGACAAGGGGGGCTCTCTGCTCCCTGGAATTGAATCGGTGTGTGTCAGGCCCCTGGGGCAGCACCGTCTGCCCCTGCCCTGGAGAAGCAGCAGCCGTTCTGGCTTTGCACAGGACGCTGAGCTCCGAGGGTCAAAACGTCCCAGCCCCAGGCAAGGGCGCGTGATACCCATGCGCTGGCCCCGGGAGTCTTGGGGCCTGGCGGCTCTCCAGCTGGGGAGCAGGAAGGGGGGCTGCACAGCCAGGGGCGTCTCTGTTCCCGGAAAGGCAGCCTCTGTGAAGGGTCTGTTCTTAAAGGACTGCAGAGTCTTCGCGTAGCTGCGAACACGCCCCGGCCCTCCCCGGCTCTGGGAAATAACTGAGCGTGAGCGTCCTGCGAGGCCGGTCTCCGGAAGTGCTGGCAGTGTCTGTGGTCCTCTGTCTCCGGCCCACCCCTCGGGCCTGACACCGCCCCCCGCTGCCTTCTGGAAGCCCAGAATCCTGGCACTGTTGGGTGTTTTTCTCCTGTTTTATCAGCTCTTCTCCAGAAGCCATCTAGGTGTCCCCTGGGTGCCACCGGCCCAGTCCCAGGTAAAATCAGCCCCATTTGGACATCAGACTTGGGAGGGCGCCCCACTGTCTCCTCCATTGCCGGGCCTACCTGCCTCCCACCCTCCCTCTCAGTGCCTCTCCTGAGCTGTGACAGTAGTTTCCCAAGGTAAAGACCCACCCACGTCCAAACCCCTTCTCTGGGAAATCAAGGCTCATGGTCACAGGGCTGCTGGGTGGCCTCTTCGTCCTGTTGCTCTTAAAACATGGTCAGAATGAGCTGTCCTGAGAAAGTCCTAGAATCCTTGCTAAGAGCTCACCCCTGCAGGGGTCCAGGTATCCTCCACCGGGACCCCAGGACTGCAGAGCCGGGTGGTTTCCAGGGACTGGCTTCTCCCAGCTTCACCCCCTAACTCCTGCCGCTGTGTCTGCAGCTCCCCAAGGGGCACAGCCAGACTTGGTCTTGTTAGATGTGAAAGTCCTTTCTGCAGACACAGGCTGTGGGCCAAAGCTGCCCTAAAGCTGCCCGCACCGCCTGCCTCCTCCCACCTGTGCACCCGCTTTTTCTCTGTTGATTTTCTCCAGTAAAAGTTTTTTGGCACCAGAGGATTCCCGCATCTTCTTGTCCCAGCGCCTTGGTGATTGTCACTGTTGCCTTTTAAGCCAAGTTGCTCCGAGGCACCTTTGCTTGTGTTCCCCGGTGGGGGTGGGTAGGGGTGCCCACACATGCTGACCAGGCCCCTGAGCCAGCTCCACCACCAGGCCACATTGGTGCCCCCACCCCAGCTGCAGGATAGACTCGGAGGTGGGGATGGGGCAGACGGGGTGACTCTCTAGGCCAGGAATCAGGGCTCCGCAGCGCCTCCCAGCCTCAGCTGCAGAGCAGAGCTGGAGCGGGGAAGGCCAGTGCCACAGCCCCAGCACTGTGGCTGGCCAGGGACAGCTGGCGCTCACCTGTCCTGGGAGGCCAGGACTGTGCGCCACTGTCCTGTGGTCTCCTGCGCATGCGTGGCCGGGACTCAGCCCCTCCTCAAGGTCCTGATGTGGAGGAGTCAGGAGCCCAGGTGGGAGGGACAGGGCTGCCGGGTTTGGGTGAGGACCGTCCCCCGGAGGCGACAGCTGCTCTCCGGCTTCCTGTCTGTCCGTGTGCACCCGGCCGGCCTGGCTTCCGGGGCCAAGGGAGGATGTCATGCTGCAGGCGCCGGGGAGCCGAGCAGGTGGGCCTAGAATCCGGAGCACCCGCCTTGTCCTCTGGGCCAGGACGGTGGCAGGCCCACACCGCCCATGTGCGGCACGGCCCTTGCATCTCTTGCTCAGGGGTTTCTTCTCTGCTTTCAGGGAGAGGCACGTGGGGAAGCTGGCACCCTTGCACAGCGTGGCCACCTGAGCCCATCGCCAGCCTCGCGGTCACCGGGGCGAGGACCATGGCACCCTAGCGGCCCGCCCCAGGAGCGGATCACCATGGCAGCTCAGCGGATCCGCGCCGCCACCGCCAATGGCCTCCCCCGCTGCAAGTCCGAGGGGACCCTGATCGACCTGAGCGAAGGGTTCTCAGAGACGAGCTTCAACGATGTCAAAGGTAAGCTGGGGGCAGAGTGTGGCGAGGGCCAGGCTGGGGGCGCCTTGACCCCCAGGTGCCAGTCCACATGTAGGCCCCGCAAGTTGGGGCTCTGCCCGCCGTCCTGGCGTCGGTCCCGCTTGGTGGCCACAGCCCCTGCTCTGGTCCTCTGGAGTGCGGAGGCAGTGCAGACTGCTCCCCTTTGTAGCGGAACGTCTTGGTGCAGAATGCTTGTTTGCCGCTTCCGTGAGATTTTGGTGACGTCAGGGTGCTGGTGTCCCCGGGAAGTAGGAGCGGATAGCACAGTTGCTGGACGTGTGAGGACCTCTGGCAAGAGAAAGGGCCGCTGGGACGAGGGTCAGCCAGCTTCGTCTGCAAAGGGTCAGATAAATGTCTTCAGCCTCGCAGGACGTCGGACGCCCGACCAGCCGCTCAGCTCTGCCACAGTCACCCAAAGCATCACAGACCCGAGGGACTCGAGGACAAGACTGTGTTCCCAGGAAACGACACAGAGGGACAGGATGTGGCCCAAAGGCCCCTGATGTAGAGACAGCCAGGGACTGATCACCCCGGGCCTGTGGGTGCCTCTAACAGCCACTTAAAACTGGGTCCATCAGGGTCTTTTAGACCCTGATGTGGAAACAGGTGGATCATCCTCCTGTGGTCTACCCTGGCCGCGCTACGTCTGGTCAGGGTCTACCAAGAGCTCGCCTGGTGCCTTGTGTTGAATCATCGTTGTCACCACTATCAACACCAACACCATCACTCCCACCACCGTCACCATCATCACCAGCACCAGCACCGTCACACTCTCATCACCACCACCATCAGGAGCCCCCTCACATCATTTACCACATTCCGCCAAAACTGCCCACTGTGCGACACAACTGCATAGTAGGAGCTTCGTCTGTATCCCTCCGGCCCCCGGCACAAGCCCGCGCTAGAGACTGATGTCGTTCTCAAGCGCTCCGCTGCTCCCCCAGGGAGACCGTGAGGCTCTATCCCGATGCACTAGAGATCTGAGGCCAGAGGCGGCCCTCTCTCCTTTCACACGTCCTCCGCTCCTGTCTCTGCTTTATGCGCTGAGCCCCAAGCACGGCTTTACACGTTCTTTGCAGGAGAAGACCGATGAGAATTGTGAAAATTTATTAACAAGAGCAGGAGGTCCTGGGTGTTGTGCTAAGTCCTCGACCCATATGCTTCTCCTCATCGGGTCAGGGCTCTGTTGTCTTGCTGCAGCCCTGCTGATCACAGCTACAGCTGGGCACGTGTGTGGTTTGGGCCCGGGTCTTAAGACAGGGCCGCAGAGCTAAATTTAAAAAATAATGGTTAGGATCTAGGAGGAGCTATTCTTCCTCAGAGAGCATCAGCACTGGGCAAGGAAGAGAAGCCAGCTGGGGACGGGCGGAGGGACTGGGCCAGCGCTGGCCTCTGCTCCCAGGACATCAGACCCAGGCGGCTCCCTGTCCCTGCCTCACACTCGTCCCGGGGTGACCAGGCTTCGGGGGGACTTTATTCCAGCCAGAATTTTTCCTGTGAAATTTGCCCCTGATTGATGTGTGCCTGTGTGAGCGCTCGGCAGAGGGAAATGTATTATTCAACAGTGCCTTGAGCGTCTGACACCCACGGGGGTCTCTATTAAAATCAAGGGGGTGGAGATCTGGGCAGACTCCCCAGAGCTCATTAGGATGGACCCAGTGGGGGTCGTCCTGCATTTGGCTGGACAGAGACCTAGGCCGTGTCCCCAGGTGCCTGGACGGTCACTGGTGGAGGGTGCTCACATCCGTCCACTCCGCGGGGGGCCCACCGTGGGGGCCACGGAGGTCACTTCTCGGGGTCCCCACAAGAAAGAGAACCATTCACATCCGAGAAGCCTGACTTGCCCCTCCAAGGAGAGTACTTGGAATTTTAACATTTTTATTCTTCAGTCTGGTAAACACCAAAGTGATAATTTACTCTGATACTTTTTCTTAGGCTACGTACAGAGTCTGTGTAATAGCTTTGGTGTTTAATTTAAAAAATATGACTGTGAGGAAATTATTCCAGGGAACATAAAAGCGATATAACTTAGGAGGATTCTAACAAGATTTTAATGGCTGGCAAGCTTCGGTTTTCATTTGGATGTGCCATTTTCGGTAGGTGTGTCCAGAAAACAGAAAGGGAGGGGCCTATCACTCACACACACACACACACACACACACACACACACCCCCCTTCAGTGATTTCTCTTTGGTGTGACTTTATGTAAAGGGGCACATGGGGGAGGGGGCGTCACTGCCTTTGGCCAACACCGAGACCCACGGGCACGGTCTAGCTCCGCATGTGGTCAGCACAAGACAGGCTTCCATTCTCCAATGCTCATGGACCACCTGCTGTGTGCCAGGCTGCTTTTCAGGGACAGCGTAAGCAAAGCAGGCGTGAATGGAGCTTGCACGCTAAACGGGTACTGGAGAGCCCTCTACCCAAACAAATATGAAAGAGCCACAGTAGGTTGATTGACAAACCCACTATGGGGAAAAGTCACATTAGAAGCCGGGCGGAGGTGTCTCCTCTCACGCTCCGGGTCCTTGCCTGCCCAAGCATCCGTGCCCAGCACTTTATCAGCCTCCTTTCGTTGACCCGTCACCAGAGCTTTCTCTCCATCGTGACACGTCGCGAGTGTCCGTGAGGCTCACCCGGCTCCTGAGGACCAGGCCCACTGCTGCCGGCGCCAGACGCTCAGCCTTCCAGTGCATGTGCTCGCTGCAGCCGAGATCCTGGAAATAAATAGAAACTTCCTGTTTTATTTCCTGAGGCGTTGCCGGGGACATACAGCTTAAATTTCATGATGCCTTTGAAAGGAAAGAGAAACCAGCAGATGATCTTTTGTGGGGCCAATTTGACAGACTGGAATCACACAGTAGACAAAGTGGGGGTGCTGTTCAACCCAAAATATTGTCCCTTCTTTGCTCATTTCATAGACAGCTAAAAGCAGTTTCCCTTCTTCCAGTTGTTTGGTGCAGGAAACCAGGATATCAGCAAAATGCCAAACAAGGCACAGTGGGCGGGAGTGGGGGGGAGTCTCTGGGCCGTTTCCAGCAGAAGGAACGTTCTTCATCCTCTGCACAGACTGTCATGGATGGGAGGGCGAGAACATTCTTAGGCATTTCATTATCTGGTATTTTTCAAGACATGTGCTGCTTATTCACGTGGCGTTTGTCCCTGTCCCAGTGCTGTCTGCAGTGGCGGCCTACAGGGTGGAAAGCCAGAAGCCGTTCATGGGCTTGAGTCACTCTCGAAAGGGGATTTTTCAGCCCGCTCACACGGCTGTTCAAAGTCATGCGATCCGCGGCCAGGCAGAAACCTTTGATCTTCAGCAGGTTCTCCGGAGAGTCCACTTCCATAGCCTTGTTCTGAACAGTCATTTGAAGGAGGTTGAAAGGGACTGACCTCAGAAGTCTTACTTCCTATAAACAGTGCGTTGAAAGAATGGGCTGAACTTGGAAATGTAAGAAGGAACAGCCCGATTCTCAAGGGCGCCGCCCTCCACGTGTGTGTTTCCCCTTGAAGGCAGGTCCTGTGCAGGAATGTTTCTGACATTCTTTCGAGGCCCTTCCTTTCCAGCCCTGGCTATAGGCAGGGGTCACTTAACTCGGAATCTCACTGGGTTTTTAAGTAAATCTCTTCCGTCTTCTCTTTCTACCTAGCAGCGGTTCTGATTCCAGCAAGTTAAAGAAAGAAAAATTTGGTCCAAAGATGTTTTAAATCACAGGACGTGTGATTGTCCTGTTTCTGTGGCTAATGGAGAGACGTTCTCCACAGCTGTCAGCTGACAGCCTGTAGGTCAGGAGGAGCCGCAGCTGACCAGGCGGGCCGCGCTGCAGATTCCACCGTGGTTCATCAGTCACCCCTGCAGCAACCACGCGCTGGGCTGGCTGCCCGGTGTGCACACAAACTAATTCTTTGACACCAAGTTTTGAGAAAAGGCTAAAAGCTTTATTGCAAATCTGTCAGCAAAGAGGTAGGAGGTAAGCTCACATCTGCCTCCCCTGTTAAGAAAGGCAATGGGGTTATACAGGTTTTGGGGACAGGGTGACTGGCAAGTGGGTTTGGGGGTAAAGAAATGTGGACTTGGCTGAAGTTCACAGACTTGTCACAAGGCAGGTCGTACGAGGGGGTATGAACAGGCCTCAGAGGACTGGAGCCTGAATTTGTGTTGGTGGCCCCTCGCCCCTGGGTGACCCCGCTCTGTGCTCGTGACTCCCAGCTCTAGCTGGTCTTGGAGCGCACTCCAAGGTTAGTCACTAATCCTCCAGCTCCTGCTGTACCTGCAAAAGCAAATCTAAGGTAAACGTTTACATAAGTTTTCATTTTCTTCCTTTTTGGTGCTCGGGATCTGAGCACGGCGTCGCCCTCCGGCGGGGGGCATCAGCTGTTTCTGTTCTCTGGGGCTGGCGCGCCCTTCGCTCCGGCTGCCCTGGCCTCACCACCTGTGTCTGTTTCCCCCAGTGCCTTCTCCCAGTGCCTTGCTAGTGGACAATCCCACACCCTTTGGAAATGCAAAGGAAGTGATCGCAATCAAGGATTACTGCCCAACCAACTTCACCACCCTCAAGTTCTCCAAGGGCGACCACCTCTACGTCCTGGACGCGTCGGGCGGGGAGTGGTGGTACGCGCACAACACCACGGAGATGGGCTACATACCTTCGTCCTACGTGCAGCCCTTGAACTACCGGAACTCGACCCTCAGTGACAGTGGGATGATCGACAATCTCCCGGAGAGCCCAGACGAAGTGGCCACGGAGTTGGATCTGCTCGGAGGGTGGACAGATAGCCAGGGGTCAAGTAAAACCCACAGTAATAACCCTTTCTGGAACGGGGTCCAGACAAACCCCTTTCTGAATGGGAGCGTGCCCGTGGTGCCCGAGTTGACTCCCAAAAACACTGTGGATCTGCTGCTCTTTGATACCGGCACGTCCTCCTTCACGGAATCCAGCTCCGCCACCACCACCAGCACGGGCAACCTCTTTGACGAGCTTCCGGCCTCGCACCAACCGCCCCTCGCCGAGCCGCTGGCCAGGCGGGACAACCCGTTCTTCAGAAGCAAGCGATCCTACAGCCTGTCGGAGCTGTCCGTCCTCCAGGCCAAGTCCGACGCCCCCGCCTCGTCAGGGTTCTTCACTGGCTTGAAGTCGCCGGCCCCTGAGCAGTTCCAGAGCCGGGAGGACTTCCGCGCTGCCTGGCTGAGCCACCGGAAGCTGGCCCGCTCCTGCCATGACTTGGACCTGCTGGGCCAAAACCCGGGGTGGGGCCAGACCCAGGCGGTGGAGACAAACATCGTGTGCAAGCTGGACAGTTCAGGGGGTGCTGTGCAGCTCCCCGACACCAGCATCAGCATCCATGTGCCCAAAGGCCATGTGCCTCCCGGGGAAACCCAGCAGATCTCCATGAAAGCCCTGCTGGACCCCCCGCTGGAGCTCAACAGCGACCGCTGCAGCAGCGTCAGCCCGGTGCTGGAGGTGAGGCTCAGCACCCTGGAAGTGAAGACCTTCCTCATCCTGGAGATGAAAGTCTCAGCGGAGGTGAAAAGCGACATTTTCAGCAAAAGCACAGTGGGGCTCCAGTGCCTGCGGAGCGATACCAAGGAGGGGCCCTACGTCCCCATCCCGCTCACCTACAGCTACGGGGACACGGTCCAGGTGCAGCTGGACAACCTCGAGCCCTGCATGTACCTCGCCATTGTTGCCCACGGCCCGAACATCCTCTACCCGTCCACGGTGTGGGACTTTATCAACAAGAAGGTCACGGTGGGCCTCTATGGCCCCAAACACATCCACCCCTCCTTCAAGACGGTGGTGACCATTTTTGGGCACGACTGTGCGCCGAAGATCCTCCTGGTCAGCGAGGTCACCCGCCAGGCCCCGAGCCCCGCCCCGGTGGCCCTGCAGCTCTGGGGTAAGCACCACTTCACCTTGTCCAGGCCCCAGGACCTCAAAGTCTGCATGTTTTCCAACATGACGAATTACGAGGTGAAAGCGGGCGAGCAGGCCAAGGTGGTGCGGGGCTTCCAGATGAAGCTGGGCAAGGTGAGCCGCCTGGTCTTCCCCATCTCCTGCCAGAACCCCGGCGAGCTCTCCGACTTCACCCTGAGGGTCCAGGTGAAAGACGACCAGGAGGCCATCCTGACCCAGTTTTGTGTCCAGACTCCACAACCGCCCCCCAAAAGTGCCATCAAGCCGTCTGGGCAGAGACGGTTTCTCAAGAAGAACGAGGTGGGGAAAATCATCCTGTCCCCGTTCGCCGCCACCGCCAAGTACCCCACCTTCCAGGACCGGCCGGTGTCCAACCTCAAGCTCGGCAAGCTGCTGAAGACCGTGGTGCGGCAGAGCAAGAACCGCTACCTGCTGGAGTACAAGAAGGGGGACGCCATCGCCCTGCTGAGTGAGGAGAAGATCCGGCTCAAGGGGCAGCTGTGGACCAAGGAGTGGTACATCGCCTACCACCAGGGCAGGGTGGGCCTCGTGCACGCCAAGAACGTGCTGGTGGTGGGCGCCGCCCGGCCGGGCCTGCTGGCGGGGCCCGAGCTCAGCACCTCGGTGCTGCTGGAGCAGATCCTGCGGCCCTGCAAGTTCCTCACCTACATCTACGCCTCCGTCAGGACGCTGCTCATGGAGAACGTGGGCAGCTGGCGCTCCTTCGCCGACGCCCTGGGCTACGGGGACCTGCCGCTCACCTTCTTCTGCCGGGCCGAGCTGGACAGCGAGCCCGAGCGGGTGGCCTGTGTCCTGGAGAAGCTGAAGGAGGACTGCAACAACGTGGACAACAAGGACCACACGTCCTTCCAGAAGGAGCTCGTGATGGTGAGTGCCAGGCGGGGGGAGGGGCGTCAGGGCCGGGGCGGGCAGCTGTGGAGTGAGGCTGGACTCGCATTTGGTACCTGGACACAGGGGTCAGCGTGCCCTGGAGGTGGGTGTCTACGTGCTGCTTTCAGGGCCCCCGACATCTCGCGAGACACCGGGGGAGGGCCCTTCAGGTCTCTTCAGAGAACCCGTGAGCTCCGGGATGTGTCCGGTGGCTGTCCACCCCCCCAGTCCGGGATGTGTCCGGCAGCTGTCCACCCCCCCAGTCCAGGAGGTGTCCGGCAGCTGTCTGCCCTCCCAGGGGGGAGGCGTGGGGCCTGGGCCCATGTCATATATTTGGATTTCTCGCACCTTCACCAGCTCCCACAGGATCCGCGGCTCAGAGTGTTCTGTGTCCCAAAGTCTGACTTGACTTCGCCTCGCCTTGTCTTTCTGGAAGCTTCCACCGCCTCTCTGCTGTCTCCTCTTTCTCCCCTGTGTGTGAGTTTGAGTTGGGGGGGAGGCCAGCCCATGAGTGGCCAGCACCACCCAAACTGGACTCCTGTAGATGAGGAGGGAGCTCGTGTCACGCAAGGGGGCACCCTGCCCACAGCCCAGCTGAACGGCTGCGCCCCCCCCACCCCGGCCCGGGGTGCTCTGCCCACTCCCGGCGCAGCACCCCCAGATGCTGCACCCTCTCGGGGGCCCGCGGGAGAACTTGTCACCGGGGAGAGCACAGTGTCCTCACTGCCGCCCTGCGGTGCCCAGGGAGCCCCTCGGGATTTCCTTCTGTAACAGAGCAGCTCAGTCCCCTCCCGCCCTCCTGATGTGGGCATGTCACGAGTTTCTGTTCCTCTGGGATCAGTCAGGTGCTTTTCTCCTAGCCCTCCCGACTCCAGTGGCCATTTCTGCCTCCTCGGTGTCCTGAGGCTCACCTGAGGAGGCCGCCGGCGCTCCTCCGCGTCTGGCCCCCTTCCCATCCCTCTGCCGTCCTGTGTGGGCGCCTCCCGGGGGGGTGGGCAGGTGTGTCCCCTGAGTCTGGAGCTGTCCCCGGACCCGCGTATGGCCTCCCTGGTGGGATGTAGGGCATGAGCAGAGACCCCATGACGGTCCCTGAGCTCCTGACCCGCTGGAGGGGGGCACTGGTGACCAGGAGGGGCAGATGCTCTGTGGGGAGTGGGGTGGGCATGGCTGCGGGGATCCTCCTGGGACTGAGGCTCATGCCACCTTCAGGGCTCGCCCCCTGTCCCCGTCAAGTCAGCACCCCAAACTTAAGGCAAATCCTGATGCAGGGCTCCTTGGGGGTTGTGGCCCGAGGGGGGCAGGACTCCCCTCCCTGAGCGCCACCAGCTGGGTCCCTCAGCCAGAACGGCTGCCCCTTGGTGGCTGCTGAAATGAACCCCCAGGACGTCAGTGGTGACGCGGAGCCACACGCAGCCCTGCGTCCATTTCCTCCTGGCCTCTCCTCCCAGAGACCGGAGCTCCCTTAGCAACAACAGGGGACCCTCCTCTGAGGGCGGATTGTTCCCTGAGCTGCCCGGGGTCAGTCTGTTTGGGGGTGGGTCTGCGGGGGTCTGGGCCCCTCCCCCGCAGATTCCCAGACTCCAGGGAGGAGGAAGTGAAACTTGACCTTGGCAGGAACTTGGCTTGAGGCAAGGTTAGATTTTGTGGGCACTGGAGGGAAACCGGTTTGGCAAGGTGCTCCTTCCTTTTCTCCTCCCGAGGCTGTGGCTGGCCAAACTTCCAGAAACCACAGGCTGGTTTCTGCTGCGTGTCTGGAGGAGTTGCTGAAACTGTTCGGGGAAATCAGGTGGTTTATTTCCAGAGACTTAGAAATCAGGGACGGTGATGCCCCTGGGTCGCCGCCCACCACCTCGCCCACCCGCCCGGGTGGCGTTCGGCTTAGTTCAGATTGGGACCTTGGAAAGTGCTTATAAATGAGGTGGGACAGTAAGTTGGCAGGAAGGTGGGAAGGAGAAGAAATCAAGTAAGAACTTACCAGAAGCGTCCAGGCCCCTCCTGTGCCGCGTGAGGGCCTGTGAGGCCTGCCCCTGCCTGCTCACACCCGGCCATCGCCAGCGCCCCACCTTCTCCGCACTTGCAACGCCATCAGCTCACCGCCTCGGACCTTCACCCACACTGTCCCCTCTGCCCAGGCGGCTGGACCCCACAGGGGGCCTGGGAGGGGCCGCTTGTCCCCATACTTTGTGCATATCAGTGTAGACCTTAGGGTGGGCACAGCTGCCACTGGCTCACCCCAGGCTTTGCTTGGAGGAGGAGTCCTCGGAGTCCCTGAGCTTGTGAGGGCGGAGCTGTGTTTCCCATTGTTGGGTTGCTGGAGTGAAGCCCCTGGCGGAGCAGAGCCCTCTGCGCCCCGCGGAGGAGGTGTCCCCAGGGTCATCACTTACAGGCGGAGCTGCTGCTCTGGTCTCGGCTTCCCCCGAGGGTGGGCAGAGGTCGCTTGCCCTGCTGCAGGCCCCCTGCGTCTGTCCTGTCCGCTGGGGCTCATCAGGGAAGGGCCTGCTCACCGCCCACACGCTGCCCCAGGGTGCCCCCGCCCGCTCCACCCCTGCCCACTCCCCCTCCCACCCCGTGTGCTGGGGCTGGCCCCCTGTGAGTACTGGGGAACGGCGGGGGCTCTGGGGGGCCGTGGCCAGGCCGTGTGCCCCTGCCCAGCACGGGCTTCCAAGTCGGGAACGCACATCCCAGAAGGGCAGAAGCTGCAGGCTGAGTCTTTGTTTTTAGGGCTTCCACGTCCTTTCCTGCTTCTCCCGATGCACGCCCCAGCCCTGGAAAGGCTTTTCTGACTGTTGGGAAGTCCAAGGGGAAAACGCGTCTTGGGGCACGTTGGCTCTGTGTGCCAGGATGGCACCGGGAGGCGAGGGCCAGGCTGGGCTGGGAGCCATGTTGTGGGAGGCAAGACCAGCGGCTCTGCCTCAGGGGAGGGGAGGCAGAGGGGCAGCTGAGCCACAGAACTGACTCAGGCCACCACCCCGGCTCGGAAGGGGCTGAGCCACCTGACGGGGCCCTGAGCCCAGGAGCCTGTGCTGGCCGAGGCGGGGTTGAGGCTCCAGGGCTCTCCAGGGCATGGGGTGTAAGGAGTGGGGTGCTGTGGGCTCTCCCGAGAAGTCCCTGTAGGGAAGGGAGAGTCTCTGCTGGGCACCATCAAGGAGGCAAAGAGGGGTGAGTTGAGCCCCGGGCGCCTGGGAGGTGGACGGGCAGAGGGGGACGAGGGTGGGGGGGGTCTGGAGGGGCCTGGAGGGCTCGTGAAGGGCCCCTGTCCCTCCTTGGAGCTGCTGGGGCTGCTGCACCCCGGTCGCCCTCCAGCACCCTGGGACGGGCCGTACTGGAGGCGCCCGCAGCCGAAGTCATGCTGGGTCGTGTTCCCTGAGGACAACTCTGAGGAGAGGCCACCGCTGCCTGCCCTCCAGCCACCCGCAGCGGGGTCGCTGGGGCCGCGTGTGGCTTTGGCAGCTTCGAGGAAGCCCTGGAGAGAACCTGTCTGGTCACTGGAGTTAGCGTGCACCCGTGGGTGTCTCCTGGCACCCCGTGTGCACGAGGCAGCTGCAGGGAGGCCCAGAGCCGCCGCCTCCTGGCCGAGCTGTGAGCTGTGGGCCCCCAACGCATGCTCCAAGGACACGTGGTGTGCCAGGCATGGGGGTGCGGGCAGCTTTGTGGCCTTGGATCCCTATGCTGGGTCGCCAGAGTCTGCACAGTCGTCTGTGCAAACGGCCCTGGGCCAGACCAGCGCGGGCCTCTGTGTCCTGTGGCCAGTGCCCCAGGGGATGGGTGGCTTTGGTGGCGCCTGCCAGGAGTGTCCGGAACCAGGAGCAGGTGACTGTGACGTGTGCACCTGGCAGACAAGGCCACCCGGAGGCCAGGCCCTGGACACCCAAGCACCCGCCCGCTGTGTGGGGGCAGCTGAGAGCAAGCGGAGTGGGCACTGGCCTGCGGTCCAGCCCTGTGGTCACAGTGATTCCAGAGGAGGCCCTGCTCCCCGCCCACCCCTCCACGTGTCTGTGCTTAAAGCACATCACACCTACAGATGGGCCCAGAGCCCTGCCAGTTTGTCGCACCCCACCCCGGCCCTCTTCCACACACACACACACACACACAAACGGCCCTGGGGACCCTGCCCCGGTCAGCTCCTCACTCGTTATTAAACAACTTCACTGGCAGATGCAAGCGGACACAGACTGTCCTGCAATCTGTACAGCTGATCCGTGAACAGCGAGGGTTTAGGGGCAGTGACCCCCCCCCCAAGGTCGAAACTGCTAGTGCCTTGTCGCCACGGTTCTGTGCCCACGGGTTCCAGCAAACACGCTTAGCTGAATCTGTGGCCCTGGAAGTGCGGACAGAGAAAGTTCTGTGAGCGTGGACTCAGCCTTCCAAACCTGTGTGACTCAAGGGTGGGCTGCAAATACTCGAAGTGAAGTCTGAAGGTCCGGACCAGCCTTTCATTTGGTTTAACTCCTGACGTCACAAGGTGACCAAACCTCTGTTGAGTTGCAGGACCCTGCACAAGCCACCCAGTCTGGGTGTCTATAAAAATGACACCTTGCACCCAGATAATGGAGAGGAGGAGCTGGGGACCGGCCGCTGGGCACACGCCTGGCTCTGGACCTCACCGGTGTGGGGCCCTCCCCACGCCTTTTCAAGCTTAATCTGCGAAATGGGGTGAGCCAGCTCCCAGCTCATGAAAGTTCTGGGGAGTGAGAGGCCCAGCCTGGTCGCCTGTCTGTCATGGCCGAGGGTACCACCTCCACCCCCTCCCCAGTAAGTGGGAGCAGGATGAGCCCCGGCGTTCCCCTGGTGTTACTGGTGGTTGCCTGGGGCTCTGAGACAGGTGCTGCAGGCCAGGTGCTCAGCGGCAGAAATGCGCCTTCTCACAGTCCGGCAGGTCCTCCTGGAGGCCCGAGGGGGAGGCTGGCCCAGGCCCCCTCGGCTCTGGGCGCTCAGCAGGACATGGCTTGTGGCAGCATCACCCACAACCCCCTGGCCCTGTGTGTGTTTCTTCTGTGGACACTCATCCCTGGGTGAAGGGCCACCCCAATCCAGGACGACCCTGTTTCACCTAATTCCATGGCAAAGGTCCTATTTCCAAATCTGTCACATTTGGGGGCCAGGGGACAAGAATTTAGGGGCGTGGACTCTGTACAGCCCAGCTCACCTTGCAGGTTGTTGCTTCCCTGGCATACTGGGCCATGGTGGCACCAGCGTCCTGGGCTCCTGGGGCAGGTCTCGCCACCTCAGGGGCAGGCCACCCCTTCCCCTTCCTGGCCTCTGTGTCAGACACCCTGTGCCCCTGGGGCTGCCCGTGTCCCTCACCGCTTTCCCCTCCACAGGCCTTGCTGAAGATGGACTGCCAGGGCCTAGTGGTCAGGCTCATCCAGGACTTCGTGCTCCTGACCACGGCCGTGGAGGTGGCACAGCGGTGGAGGGAGCTGGCCGAGAAGCTCGCCAAGGTCTCCAAGCAACAGATGGACGCCTATGAGTCTCCCCACCGGGACAGGAACGGGGTCGTGGACAGCGAGGTGAGCGGGGCTGCGGGTTCCGTGGTCTGGGAAGACACAGACTTAACGTCCACTCTCTAGCGTGGCCGTGGGGACAAACCGTGTCCAGGCTTGTAACGCGTGCCTCCGGCGGCGGGGGGGGGCGGGGGCAAGCCTCCCCCTCATGTGAATCCAGGCTGAGGGGCGGAGGGTCTGCGCTGCAGGAAGTGGGGTGTGGGAATGGGCCACCCCCGCTAAGTCCGGCCTTGAATCACCTTCAGCCCGACTGACGCAGGAACAGGGCCTTCTGTGCTGGTTCCGGCCGGGTCTCCCACCCGACGTGCGGGCATGCACCAGCATATTCCGTGACTGCCCGCTGCACGCCTGGGCGACAGTCTTGGTTTTCTCGCGAGCTCGGGAGATCGCTTTGAGTTTCTGGAATAGATGGTCCAGGCTGAGGGGGCCTAGGAAGCAGCAGGTCCCGAGAATAAGGGTGCCCTTTCGTAACACGGGGGGTTTCTGAAGCACCGGCAGAGAGGAAGCCCCACAGAGCCTGCACAGGAAGAGCAGCCCCTTGGGTGCCGCCTGACCCCCCTCCAGGGACGGTCTCGCACCCGGAGTGTACTGGCCTCGGGCTGGGGCGGTTCCCTGCTTCTCTGTCTTTTTTCTTTTTTGAAGAACAAGAGAGCCCGCGCTTCCCTCCTTGGGGCTTGGCCTCTCCGGGTGGGGAAGTGACCTGTAAATAAATCTGTGATGTGCCGCTAGGTAGGGATGGTGTTACAGAAACAGCACGGGGGAGCCGAGGGCGGGCAGGTCTTCCTCCCCTAAGAAGGCCTCCAGGGGTTCTTTTTACAAAGAGTCTTTTTCATCAAATGTTGCATTTTAAGCATTTTTCTATGTCCTCCTTCTTAACACTCACTTTTTTTTTAAAGATTTTTTATTTTATATATTTATACAAGCCCTGGGTACAGTCAGAAGCGCGGGAGGGTGAGAGGATTCACCAGAGCCAGAGTGGGGAGCAGGGCAGGCAGACTGACAATATACACTGCTGAGGGGAGCAGCGGGCGGCAGGAGAGGTCTGCGCGCCATGTGGGACCCTCGCCCGGCGGGCGGGGATTGAACCGGTGTTGCAGAGGCTGCGGGCAGCTTCGCAGCCCAGCGCTCAACCGCTGCGCCACCTTAAGATTTTATTTATTTATACAAGAACCAGGGTACAGGTCAGAGGCACGGGAGGGTGAGAGGATTCACCAGAGCCAGAGCGGGGAACAGAACAGGCAGACGGACCGAAGATCCTGCTGAGGGGAGCAGCGGGTACGGCAGGAGAGGTCTGTGCGCCATGTGGGACCCTCGCTGGCAGCCGGGGATGGAACCGGCGCTGCAGAGGCTGTGGGCAGCTTCTCAGCCCAGCGCTCAACCGCTGCGCCACCAGGCCCTTAACACTCACGTTTAATGTTTGAAAATAATTGTGTTTTGTTGAACTAATGAGCCCTTCATTCATCCTTCCTTCGAACAGTTGTTCAGCCGGCACTGATGAACCCAAGGCCATGTCATAATTGTCCACAGTCATTAGAGCTCTACCTGCTACTGTGTCTGTCTTTCTCTCCCCCTGTCCTTCTCTTTTTGGGTTTAAAAATCTTTAAAAAACTGGAGGAGGGCCTCCCCTGGTGGCGCAGCAGTTGAGCCCTGGGCTGCGAAGCTGCCCGCAGCCTCTGCAGCGCCGGTTCCATCCCCGGTCACTGGCGAGGGTCCCACATGGCGCCCAGACCTCTCCTGCCGCCCACTGCTCCCCTCAGCAGCGTATTTCTTCATCAGTCTGCCGGTTCTGCTCCCCGCTCTGGCTCTGGTGAATTCTCTCACCCTCCCGTGCTTCTGACTGTACCCAGTGCTTGTATAAATAAATAAATAAATCTTTTTAAAAAAAAAAAGCTGGAGGAGGGGCCTCCCTGGTGGTGCAGAGTTGAGCGCCACACTGTGAAGCTGTCTGCAGCCTCTGCAGCACGGGTTTGATTCCCGGCCGGCAAGGGAGATTCCCACATGGCGCCGCAGACCTCTCCTGTCTCCCCACTGCTCCCCTCAGCAGTGTCTTTGGTCCGTCTGCCTGTTCTGCTCCCTACTCTGTCTCTGGGGAATTCTCTCACCCTCCCGTGCCTCTGACCTGTACCCTGGTTCTTGTATAAATAAATAAAATCTTAAAAAAAATAAAAAGTTTCAGGACGCTTCCCGGAGCTGGAGCAGGTGACGGCCCGGCTCCCCGTCCCCTAATCCTGTTCCTCTCTCCCTTTCCTTGTCCCACCCCACCCCCCAGGCCATGTGGAAGCCTGCCTACGACTTCCTCCTGACCTGGAGCCACCAGATCGGGGACAGCTACCGGGATGTCATCCAGGAGCTGCACACGGGCCTGGACAAGATGAAAAACCCCATCACCAAGCGCTGGAAGCACCTCACGGGGACACTGATCCTGGTGAACTCCCTGGACATCCTGAGAGCCGCTGCCTTTAGCCCTGCGGACCATGACGACTTCGTGATCTGACAGGCGCCCACCTGCTCTCTGGGACACCCCTCCCTCCACCCTGGGTGCCCGGCAGGCCCCGGAGCTGGAGGAGGAAGCCTCGGCTGCTCAGACAGGGTCCCTCCAGGCTGGACCCACCAGAGGACCAAGCACACGCCATGCCCCGCCCGGCACCGCCAGCTCAGGGGGGTCTGAAGGGAACTGCCACTGCAGGTTGTTGCCAATCCAGTAGCTTTCTGTTTGTTAAGTATGAATATAAATTGGAATCTTTTTTTTTTAAGTATGGGGAGGGGACTTGGGAGAAAGGTGGCGTCTGATTTTTTAGTGTATCATAAAGGGTTCAAAAAAATACTCCATGGGGCAGATGCTGTTGAGGTTTTTATGTTCTATGAAAACCTTTTTAAATTATGTTACCAATGTATATATGTATTTAAATAACACTGGGGGCATTTCTGATTCCCAGCCACACCTTCATTTCAACACAGCACGGAAGGCACTTGTTCGTGTGTTGGGCCTCCGTTGCTCCTACTGTAACAGGAAATCAAAAGCAAATGTGGTTTCCAGTACATGAGTATAGCTCAGCCCACCTACTCTTCCTGGGAATGTCCTGGGTCCTGCTCTCCCCTCCATTTTATCTACTGTACTGTGGCCTCTGGGCTCCAGGTGCAGTGAACGGGTCCACGGCACAGGTGACCTTAGTGAGCTTTAACAGCAAATCTCAATCCGACAGGAGACACGAGTTGCCCTGAGGTGAGAAGGCAGCTGGGAGTGGACACCCGCTGTGCCTGTGCGGGGGTCATTCGCAGAGGGGCGCCCTCGAGGGAGGAAGGGAGGCTGCAGCTCCGAGGCATGGGCGGCCCCAAGGGCGCTCTGTGGACAAGGAGTCAGGTCACAGGTGCACTGGTGCTGCCCACAGGGCCCAGGCTGCATCCGCCAGACTGTCCACTTCATTTCATCTGATTGTCCCTCCATCCTGGTATGCTCTGTCTCCTGGGAGACAGGGTAGGGAGACCATCTTTTTGTGCGACAGAGTGACTGTCTGAAAGGGAAAATATTTTCTGGAAATGAAATGTCCCCCACGTTAGACAGGGGCTTGCGGAGGGTGGCATGAGCCCCTCGGAGGTGTGTGCCAGCCTGCCATGTGGCTTCCCTGCGGTTGTGGCATCTCACAAGGAAGTGAGGAAGGGAGGGCCAGGGCTGGAGAAGCGCCTGGTGAACCCCTGGACACAGGGTCTCCGGACACGCACCAAGGACGTCCTGCCCATGGGCGAGGTGATGTTGGCCATGTGGGATCTTGGCCTCGTGCCCGAATCTGCCTCCCTGGACCTGCCCGTGATCTAGTGTGATCACTGTATCTTCCCTGTTGGGCTGAAACGTACTCATTTCTCTACCGAGTCAGATGCTGACGACCAACCGGGTCGAAAACAATGATGAAAACAAAAACTGCTATTTTATGCTGTGAGAACCAAGACACACAGGTCCCCGATCATCACACAAAATCACCTCAAATCCGCTTCTCCACCTTCATTCCCCCCTAGAATCATCTCTTACCTTTTCCCCAAAAAAGAGACAAGACCGAGTTGCACCTTAAACCGCAGATCTCTTTCCTCAGGGGCTTGAAATAGTTTCCTATGCAACCTGTGTTGTAGCACAAATTCAATCCTACAAGAGTTGCAGTAAATTTTATTTGGATATTTTAACCTGTTCAGTGAGTGTGTTTTTCTGTACGCAACCAACTTTAAAAAAAGTAAGTCTCTGCATGGACAGCGGCCCCTCCCCCGAGCAGTCACCCCGGGCAGTGTGAGGGCTGCCTCAGCAGATGTTTGTTTTCTGGCTGCTTATTTAATGACTCTGGCCAGGAGAGGTCCTGGTCAGCCCTGAGAGTGAGAAGCGTTGTCCAGAGGGCCAAAGGGTGCAGGTGTAGGGTTTGCGCTGCCCTCGTCCACCCTGGAACTGGCCTCCCCTGGCCCACAGCCCAGCACTTAGGGCAGAGCCTTTCCTGGATGCCCAGCATGTTCCTTCGGGTGCTGGTTGCAGCAGGTGGGCCTCCCATGGCCCTGCCCTTGCCCTGCCCTAGGAGTCAAAATTTGGCAGGGCAGGAAGCAGGGGGAGTGGGCATTGTGGCAAACCTCCTTGAGAAAGTGACTTGAACCCAAGGTCAGGCCGGACCTGGGGACTGGGTGGAGACAGCTGACCCCTCCGCGGGGCTGGGACGTGGCAGATGAGCACGGACCCCAATGCTGGTGCATCCTGGCCCTGCCAGTGCCTACCCCAAGCCACCCCAGGGCAGCCCCGTCACCCCAGCTGCCAGCAGCCGTGGGGATTTCCACCCCGGGGTACGTAACAAAGCACCACAAACAGAAATTTCCTCTCACAGTTATGGGGGGCAGAGATTCAAAATCCAGGGGTCACATGGCCATCTCCCCTTCGTGTCTGTATCCAAAGCCCCCTTTCCTTGTAAGGACGCCACACGTTGGATCAGCACCCCTAAATCGCGCTCTCGTGACCTCAGCTTGGTGGCACCAGAAAGACCCCGCTTCCAGAGACGGTCCCGCCCATAGGTGGGGGGGGTGCACCCTCCAGACCCAGGAGCAAATCCCTGAAGCTCAGGGAGGACAAACACGCTGGTGTACATGGACCAAAAGAGGATTCGAGAAAGGAGACGCCTGTTGTGACTAGAGCACCCCTGGGTATTCGAGGCCCTGAGGAGAGCTGCCCAAGGGGGGGGGTGCTTGAAAAGCCACAGCATGGGCAGGTGTTTCCTCGTAGACACTGGCTGGACACCCCTGTCCCAGGACACCCGCGGGCGTCTCCCCTCATGCAGCCACGTCCTCGTGGGCAACGCCGCCGAGCTCGAGCACGTGTCCGGCACGTGCCGTGGGGCACACCAGGCTCAGCGAGGCCGGACTGCACAGTCCTCCTGACAGGCGGGGGGTGGGGGAGAGTGGCCTGGCCTGGACCGGGGCTCCGGGGGCCTGCTCAGGGGAGTGGGAGGCTGTTGGGGGCTGCCGTGGGGAGGTGACAGACCAGGCCGGTGGAGTTGGGTGGCAATGGCCGCGCAGAAGCTTGGGCTCCCAAGGCCCTGGTCAAACCTGGATGCGGGAGGGCCCGGAGGGGCGGGATCCACCCCGGACGGCATTTGATGCATCAGGGAGACCGCAAGAGTGCCGGGACTGGGGTCCCTGGGGTACCCTGGGGGGGGCTGCGGACTGGACCGTTAACCCGCAGGACGCGTCCAGGAAGACTTCCCAGGTGGTGGGGAGGGGCGCTCAGCAGGACAAAGGTGGGCGGGAAAGCCCAGGAGAGGACAGCGGTCCTGTCCTGAGCTCGCTTCTCAACAAGGTGTCGGAGCAGCTGCAAGACTTCAGGCCGAGAACCCCCGAGAGGAGGGACTCTGGGCAGCGGCCCGGGCCGCTCCTCGCACACCAAGCCCACGAGACCCACGGAGATGCCCGACTGAGCCGCTCGTGCTTCTTCACGGCCACTCCCTGAGCCCCCGCCTGCCCCCGGAACCTGCCCGTCCAGCCTCGCCCCAGCGCATCCTCCAGTGCCCGGGAGTGGCCCCTTCTGCTGGACCCCCTTTCACATCCCAAGCCCCCAGGCTCCGGCCGCCCCCAGGGCAGCGCCCGCCCCGAAGCCACATCGTGCAAGTCAGATAACATTCAGCTCCCGAGACTGAGCCCTTGGGTTCTGTGGGTGCTGAAATGCCCTTTGTTTTGGCAGCTGCTGCTGATTTCGAATCTCCGGGGTGGCTGTTTCAGGGCCTTTCTTGCAAGGTGAGCTGTTGGCCAGAGACAGACCTGCCTCCTTCCGCCCTCGGGCAGTTGGACCAACGGCAGGTCAGGAGGAGGCCGTGCCCACGACTGCACGGAGCTGCTTCTCGCACCCCTCCTCGCCGCCGTGCTGATGCGTCATGTTTTCGGAGAGCGCAGCGTCGTGAGAAAGCTGCTGCTATATTCGGAACTCAGAAAACACCGACTTGACGTTTTCCTTGCAGCTCCGTGCAGGTGTGATTAACCTCCACGGGCCTCTGCTTCGGGGATCAGCCCCCCGCGGGCGGAGCTGGGGCGGACACGGGAGCCTCCAGGGCGGCCGTGGCCACAGGACGAGCTGCTGACCGCTGGTCGTGGCGGGAGTGGCCCTGGCAGTGCCCGGCCCCGCAGGGCACCTTCCTCATCGACCTGGTGCTTCTCCCACCCTGCCCTTGATGGAAATAACCCAATTATCCGCTAATTGCCAATTGCTGTTGCTTGCAAATAAGCACCTGGACTTCCAGGGGCTCCTCAGGATGCTGCTCTGAAATCCGACTCCCTGGGAAGTCTTCCTGGACACGTCCTGCGGGTTAACGGTCCAGTCCGCAGCCCCCCCACGGGACCACAAATCCAGGCCGAATCTCACACTAGGCTGTGCAAGGAGTGCCGCAGTGCCCAGCTCACACTCAATAAATTCACATTCACACTCAATAAATGGCGGGGGACTGAGTGATTGAATGAGCAGCTGCCGGCACCTGGTGGAGCGTCGAGGGAGGGGCCGGGTCAGAGCCTCGGCCACCGTGTCTGTGGCTGCCGTGATTGCTTCTTTTTAATCAGACACAAGCTGGTGGGGAACGAGTCCGTTCTGGGTCTTTTTTTCCTAAGATGTTCTCTCTCTACTCCTTGGCTCTCTGGTCTTCCCACTATAACCCTGTGTATGCTGAGCTCAGTGAAGCTCACACTTTGGAATAACAAGTGTTTGCTTTATTTTTCCACATATTTATTCTAAGCTCCAAGTGCAAAATCAGTTCACACCCCAGGTGTGATTGCTCACACCTAGGTGAGAACAACAGGTGCTCTGGGTGAACATCTGGGGCCTCAGATGAGCTGCCTGGAGTCACGGGCCTCCCTGGGTAGTGGCCCTGAGCCCCGTGCACTGGTGGGGCTGGGAGGGGGGCTGGGCAGTGGGGTGGTTGCCTGGCAACTCCACCACCACAGGCCCTATCTAGAGGACAGGGATCAGGAGGGCAGAGTCACTTGCCATTTTGACTGAGCCATGTTAGCATCGATGTCTACAGCGTGAGGAATTTATAGTAAAATACACACTGACGGGTCAGCTTGAAACCGACGTGCCTGAAGCAGCCTGCATGCAGCACGTTTACTCTTTGTGCAACTAGTGGGTTCTGCAGAATGCAATGACATGTTCCAAAGCTCTCTGGAAAATCGGACTCCAGCTCTCCCAGGCTTTCTGCAAAACACCTCTAGCCATTCCTAATTATCACCTCTTCCATGTGATGGATGCAATGAGAATGAAAGACAGAAAAGGCGGTGGATGTGCATTGAGGAACTCCGGGCGCTTGACCTAGTTAGACACCCTCTCGCAGACCTTAGAGACTCAGACGGGCTCCCCAGGGCCTGGGGTACAGCTATCAAGCCTGAGGTTTGTGCAGAACACACCGAGACACGCTCGTGGCTGCCGCCAGGGTGCGCCGTGCCCAGGAGAGCAGGCCTCGCATGACGAGTGCATTCCATCCGCACTCAGTTTACCCCGAGTGACAGCTGCGGCTCTTCTGCTGTGACATGTAGCATAGCCCAACATTCTGCTTCACATACTCCCGGCAACGCTCCGTGGGGCCAGGAGTCACCTCCCTGACACGCTCGGGCGTCCCCCCAGGACGTTCTTTCTCAGGGCGACTCATGACGATCGTTCTTCGCCAAATGTCTCCCAATACGCTTTACTCTGCCTTATTGGAGTGTTTATAATATTTGCTCTTATGTGGGTGTTCGGTGAGTCAATCAGATGAGCGGTGCTCAGTCGCAGTGTCATTATTATTTTGGGTTCCCATATGCTTCCACCCCCAGCTCCGCAGGGAGGCAGGGGCACCGGCCGAGCGATCTGGAGAAAAATGAAAGAATTCCACTGTTTCAGATCTTTTCTTCCTTTTTTAAACCACATCACTGCTGCGCCCACTTGCCTGTTTTCCCAGCGTGGCGTGCACACCCAGTGAGCCTCAGCGGGCTAAAGGCTGGTTCCCAGGCCCCAGAATCAGCTGGCGGGAGGCCCGCCCCTGCGCTGACCGGCTTTCCACCGGGCGCTGAGGAGCCCTGGCGTGAGCACAGGCCCGGGGGCTGGCTGCACGGGCACCACTAGTAGCCGAGACACACACACACGGCTCCGCTTCTGAGGAAGGGCGGGGGCTGGGTCTCCTCTGGGGTCCCTGGACGCCTCGGCAGCCTGGCTGCAGGCTGGTCCCGGCTCCTGGTGTCCATCTTCCTAACACTCCTTCACCTCCTGCTGGACTGTAATTAAAACCAAGGCCATTGTTTTCCTGTGTGAACCGTACAGGGACTTGTTGACCCGCCCTGCTGAGAGGGGGAATGGGCCCCTGTGCTTTAGCAATGCCCACCTTCCCTCCAGCCTCTGCCAGGACTTCAACATCCTGGGAGTTGAGTGTGACTGTGAAGAAGAGAGGACGTGTGTGTGTGTGTGTGTGTGTGTGTGCACGCGTGTATACACAGGTGTACACCAGAGACACAGGAGGCCCTGAGACAACCTCTTAGCCTTCCTCACCTCAGGTGGCACCACCGCTGCAGAAACTCGTCCCTCAGTTTTATTCCAAGGCCCCTAAGAGCAGAGGGACCAACTCCGACTGAGGACTGTCAGGGTCGCGGGATGCAGGGATCTTATTGCCTTTAACCTCACCCCGTCCCTGTGAGGTAGGACAATGTCCTCGCTGTATAGATGAGAAGTGAGGCACGGAGAGGTCAGGTAACTTTCCCAAGGTCGCACAGCTAAGGAGTGTGTTGCTGGCGCTCAAACTCAAGCGGCCTGGCTCCAGGCCCCAGCTGTCCCCCATTCCTGCCACTGCCCAGGGATGTTTTCCTTACCCCACGTGAGTGAAGATGCCCAGGAAGAAATGGAAATAGCGACTTAATTGAAAGTAGTCAGTAGTAAGAATTCGGCTCCTGACCTTGGAATGTTTTCCATGTGGATGATGAAAAGCAGAGCGGGGTTTGCCATCAGCTTCCTGTTGCTCGTTGCCTTTGGCAGAGGAGATGGAACATGTTCTTGTTACCCGGCAGGGGGTGGGGCACCCCAGAATCCCCAATTCTCCCTGTTCTAAATAGGTTCTGCCACCCACTGCGTCAAGACAAAATACTCTCAACAAAGAAAAGATGAAGAATATAGTTTCTAAATCCAGCATCCCCCGTGGGTGGGTCAATGTCCAGCCACACAGGGTT